ACACACACACACACACACACACACACACACACACACACACACACACACACACTCACGTTACTATAAGGACTATCCTTCTGCCGCTCGGGTTTAGAGGACCCCAGGAAGGTGGTGCTGCGATTCGCACACGCAGAGAGGCTGGAGCACCAGCCGCCGGGCGGCAGGTGGATGTGCCACGACGACGCACCATTGCGGAAACCAGGGCGGAAGTAATATCCAGGGGGGCTGGGGGGTGGGTTGAAGGGGTTGAGGTGGAGGGGGAAAGGGGAGAAAGTGAGAGGAGACGGGCATTGGTAGAGACGAGGAGCACCAGCCGCCTGGCGGCATGTGGATGTGCCATGATGTCAGGCTGCTACCGAAACCGGGGAGGAAATAATATCCCGGGGGGCTGGGGAAAGGAAGAAGGGGAACGGGATAATGCGGGGGAAGGTGGAAGGTGGAAGGGGGAGGAAGTGTGCGGGAGACATTGGTAGGGACAAGTGGGCTACCAGCCGCCACGACGACAGACCATAGCCGAAACCAGGGCGGAAATAATACCCGGGGGGGTGGGGGGTGGGTTAAAGAACGGTACGGGAGAAAGAGATGGGGGATACAAGGAGAAAGAGGGGGAGGGGGGGGGGGGGGTGAAGAGCACAAAAGGCGAGAGGACGAGACAGGTGGATGGATGTGATGTGCCACGACGACAGTCCATAGCCCAAGCCAATGCGCAAGTAAAAATACCTGGGGGGCCTGGGAAGTGGGGGGGTGGGGGGGCTGGGGGATGAGGAGGGATGGAAAGGGGGACACAAGGGCTTTTGAGACGCCTCAAAAGTCGATACAAGGGAAAGAGGGGTTAAGATCGCAAAAAGCGAGAGTGAGGGTGACGGCAGGGTGAAGGGGCCACGACGGCGGACCATAGCCGAAGCGCGATGCGGAAGCAGCAGCCGGGGGGTTTTGGGAGGAAAGGGGGCGGGGTTGAGACGAGAAAAGGCGCTACTATGCCCCCTTCGTCTCCCTGCGTGTGTTAGAAGATCGGCTATTGGGGCGGACAGCCTTGTGACAAGGGTTACCGTGCGATTGACGGGTTACCGGGTTACCTTCCGTCGAGGCACATGGCGTTGAATCGGTTGTTAGGAAGCACCGTACAAGCACGCTCGGTATCGTTACTGCGACTTTCCTCTGAGTCAGAACTCGTACCTGCCGTCGAGGCACTTGGCGTTGTATCGATTGTTGGGAAGCACCATTACAAGCACGCTCAGTACCGTCAACGCCAGTCAACACACTCGTACCTTCCGTCGAGGCACTTGGCGTTGTATCGGTTGTTGGAAAGCACCGTTACAAGCACGCTCGGTATCGTTACTTCGACTTTTCTTTGAGTCAGAACTCGTACCTGCCGTCGAGGCACTTGGCGTTGTATCGGTTGTTGGGAAGCAACGTCGGCAACACGATTGGAACCGTTACCGCAGCTTTTCTCGCAGTTCGCGTCGACCCGATCCCCGCTGTAAGCCGACCCGTTAACGCGAGCAGCAAAAGGATTGCCAGTACGGGAAACCTACGCTGGAAATCGCCGGAAATCACCACGTCTATCCCCGTTACAGCCCTCGGTCTGATTTTTCTACACGTCTGTAGTAGTAGCCTCCCTGATCGTCGCCCTTCTACTACATTATTGTTCGCGTTCGATGATGATAAGGAGGAACTCGAGACAGATGACATGGAGCCCTGTAACGCGCAAATAAGTCCTCTAACGAAGAAATTAGCTAATGAAGCGGACGCGATCGAAAATAAATAGGCGAAAATCGGAAATGCTGGTATTTGTAACGGGGATTGGGTGCCACGTTTAGCCGCCATTCGCGGCAGATTAGTTAGCTAAACCGAAATCATGTGCGGGGTCTCGAGCTCTGCAAGCAAAGGCCGGCGATTGATGGGAGGAATAGGAGCCGACAGCACGCTTAGAACTAAGGAGGCTGAAGGAGCCTGGGAAACGAACAAAGAGGCTTTGATTAGGTGAGAATGTTTTACAGCGCCATATGACATCAGCATGGCATTGGGTGGGTGTGGGGCTAGCTGTAGCGCCGAGGATGGGTGTTGTGATCCTTTCCTAGTTTATGCTCGGTTTGTTATCTTACGATCGGGTTTTTGTACGATATATATAGATTTCCGTGCGGTTCTGCATTTTTTGTTCAGCATTTCTCGTTGTCGGTGTGGCGCGGCGCGGCAGTGGAGGTTGGTGTGATCCATTCGCGCCTATAACGAGGTGTAATGCTTGCCACACCAAGACGGACAGAGATAAAACAAAGGCACAATTATATCTCTAATTACCCTTCCACCAGATTTCCGTCCAATTTTCTCTGGTTTCCAGGCAGAGTCGAATGGGGAAACCAAGACCAAAGTGCGGGCTGATGCGCCTGCAGATCCTAGAATGGTGAGTTCGAGAATATAGACTCCAGCAGCATCCAACGACAATGCTTGCCAGCGAGGAGGGAAACCTACCAGACCTGCCCAGTTGCTAGAGGTTGCCCGGACAAGGTTTGAGTAAATGAAAGTGATAAACACAAACCTACAATTCCTCCTGCTAACCGACAGGTCCTGTAAAGGGTACAGCCCACTAGAGCAAGGGCTGTCAGGAGTTAAGAGGAACAAAAATGCATCAAACGTGCTGAATTACAATCATGCTACTAAAACATCAACACACAACCTTACCTGACGGGGGGTATACATTGGCGGCAGTCTCTCAATTATACAATACATTTGTATCTGCTCTGTACAGTATCACAACAAGGTTGTACTTGCTCTGTACACTGCCAATAAATGGCCATCATTCACTCACTATTTCCCCGAAGTCCTCACTGTTGTCATCCTCACTATCGTCCCAATCGACCTCAATCTCTACAGTGGCGGCATGCAGCTTATCCAAGCCTGTGATCCTCTCTAAATATGTGGGATCGTTAAACGCGTCCATAAGGAACGCATAACGACGCTCCCTGTATGCTGAAACCACCTACGTTGAGGAAAAGAAGGCATATGAGAGCATGAAAAAGGATGTGAAAATTATATCCATACATACATATAGGATACATACATATTAATATCATTAAATTCGCAATGCTGAATTCTCACTGTAGGGGAGCAGACGGTGCACTGGTGGAAGGCGAATCCAGTAATGGGGAGCTGGGAGGAGGAGAGGAAGCCGCGCACCAGAAGATGGTGAGGCATGTAATAGCTAATTGAGGCAGTAGACTTACCGTGGGGGAGCAGGCGGTGCACTGGGGGAAGGCGAATCCAGTGATGGGGAGTTGGGAGAAGGAGGAGAGGAAGCCGCGTAGCTGGTGGGGCATGCACGAGTTAACAGAAGCAGTGAACTTACTGTGGGGGAGCAGGCGGTGCACTGGTGGAAGGCAAACCCAGTGATGGGTAGCTGAGAGGAGGAGGAGAGGAAGCCGCGTAGCTGGTGAGGCATGTAATAGCTAATATAAGCAGGGAACTTACCATAGGGGAGCAGGCAGTACACTGGTGGAAGGCGAAGCCAGTGATGGGCAGCTGGGGGAAGGAGGAGAGGAAGCCGCGCAGCTGGTGAGGCAGCGGACCCAGAGGCGAGCAGAGGTGGGAAGAAGCAGAGGCAGAAACCCCATCAGCACTGGTGTCTTCTGCTGGTGCTGCGACTCTGAGTGGGTGGGGAGAGATGAGAGGGGGTGAAAGGGGGCGGGAGGGGACAAGAGTAGGAATGAGCCACAACCGCACGAGGAGAAAAAGCCGCGAACCAGATGCCCCATAACAATCACAATGACTCATCCTGAAGAATGGTGCAGCAGCCTCGTCCAATACCCCTACGTTAGAGGCCCTAACACTTGGAAACAACTCACCCTAAAGGGTGGTGCAGTAGCCCCACCAGCACTCCACTGCCAGAGCCCCTACTATGGCTGCCAGCCCACTCACCTGCTCCTTCCACCCATACACGCTCGACCCTTACAAGTTGCAAGCCATCCTTACCCCATGGGATGGTGCAGCAGCCCCACCAACAACTCCACTGCCAGAGCACCTACTATGGCTGCCAGCCCACTCACCTGCTCCTTCCACCCATACACGCTCGACCCTTACAAGTTGCAAGCCATCCTTACCCCATGGGATGGTGCAGCAGCCCCACCAACAACTCCACTGCCAGAGCACCTACTATGGCTGCCAGCCCACTCACCTGCTCCTTCCACCCATACACGCTCGACCCTTACAAGTTGCAAGCCATCCTTACCCCATGGGATGGTGCAGCAGCCCCACCAACAACTCCACTGCCAGAGCACCTACTATGGCTGCCAGCCCACTCACCTGCTCCTTACAGCCAGCACTCACCACTCACGTTACAGCTGACCCTTACCCCATGGGATGGTGCAGCAGCCCCACCAATAACTCCACTGCCAGAGCCCCTGCAATGGTTGCCAGGCCAGGGCGCGTGACTGTGCACTGCTGGTCTAGCGTGCGGTGAGCTGTGGACTGGTGGGGGTAAATGGGAAGGAAGGGGAAGAAATCATGAAGAGAGGCGGATGAGGGGTGAGTTGGACGGCAGACAGGCACAGCCAGACAGCCCGACAGCCAGACAGCTAGACTGCCAAAGCTTCGGCCATGGGTGCCAGGCCAGGGCCCGACAGCCAGACTGCCAGGGCGTGTGACGGTGCACTGCTTCGAGAATGCGGTGTGCGGTGAGCGATTATTGAGTCGACTCAAAAATCGACTCGTCACGCGCGTGACGGCGCACTGCTGGTGGAGAATGCGATGTGCGATGAGCGGTGGACTGGCGGGTATAGGGAAAACGGGAAGGGAAGGGTGGAGCTGAAATGATGGAGGTAGCTGGGGGCAGCAACGCACACCGGAAGACAGCAAGGCCCCCCGCTATGGCTGCCAGGCCTGGGCGAGTGACTGTGCACTGCTGGTCTAGCGTGCGATGAGCCGTGGACTGGTGGGAAGAGGAAGAAAGTACAGAGGGAGAGGAATGAGGAGTGAGTTCGAACTTTGAAGGTAGCAACACACACAACCAGACAGCAAGCAAGAATGCAGACAGCTTGAGAGAGTGGGTGACAGTGAGAGGCCGCAGTGCAAAGGAGATGAGAGTAGCTCACATTGAGGGGACCAACAACATCGTTGCAAAAATAGCAGCCGAGGCACTTGGACGACCGTGTGTGTGGTGTAATGCGGTGTAATGTGGTGTTGGTGAGGTGTGGTGTGGTGTGGTGGCGTGTGGCATAAGGGAGAGTGGTCCTCGGAAGCTGGTGGCAGTGAGGGGCAACACCACAAATGATATGTGGGTAGGGTAGCTAGGAGATGAGAGTAGCTCACATGAGGGTAGGGCGGCGGCTCACATTGAGGGGAGCAACGACATCGTTGCAGAAATAGCAGCCGAGGCGCTTGGATGGCGCTGACTCAGAAGCAGCAGGTGCTGACTCAGACGCTGCTGGTGCTGACTCAGACGCTGCTGGCGCTGACTCAGACGCTACTGGAGCTGACGTGTCAAGCAGAGGCAGCAGCGGAGCCCCGTGGCGCATGACAAGGAAGGAGTCGAAGCCAAGAGCAGCGTTGATGGCCACCTGAGAAGGGTGCGGTAAGGAAAGGATGGTACAGGAGCGACGGTATAACGGGGAGTGGCATGAATGGAGTGCAGGTGCCTTGTGTGTGGCGCATGACAAGAAAGGAGTCGAAGCCGAGGGCTGCGTTGATGGCCACCTGTGCGGGGTGTGTTGATGGCAAGGGAGACGCATGGGATGGTGGTTAGAATGCCATGGGGTGTGGCATGTGGCGATGATTGCAGGCGATGATGGGCAGCCAACAGCTTTTCCTCAACCCCTCCCCTTCCCATTCCCATACCATCTCTACCTAACGCCTCTCATAAACCCTCACCTTCCCCTCGGCTGCGCATAGCAGGGTGGGCAGCCAGCGGCTCTCTCTTGTATCAGTAAGGAGGAAGACGGCGTCTGATTGGCGGACGAGTGCCAGCAGGGCTGTCACGTCAGCCTGCACACGTGGCGCCTCGGAGGGAGACACGGGGTGACCTGGCATGGGGATGGCGAGGCGATGGCCTGATGTACGCTGGAAGAAAGGGTGGGGGCAAGGGAGGGCGGGAAGGGAAAGGGAGGGAAACATGGGGTTTTGAAGGGTTGTTTGGGTCGAGTGGAAATCTCCCATTGAGGCTGGCACGGGGTGACCTGGCAGGCATAGGAATGGCGAGGTGATGGCCTGATGTGCGCTGCATGCAGGGTGGGGGCAGGGGAGGGGATGGGAAGGGAGGGGGGTGGAAATGGGGCATTGAAGGGGAGGTCTGGGATAAGATAACTCAACATTTCCCTTAAAGGGCAACACAGGGGGGGGGGGGGGGGGGGGGGGGGGCTTGCATGGGAATGGCGAGGCGATGGCCTGATGTGTGCTGGGGGGACGAGGGTATTCACGGTTCAAGGTTCAGAATTCAGGGGTTCAGGGTTTCGGGTTCAGGGTTTGGGGTCGGCTATTGGAGGGGAATGGGTTGTTGAAGGGTCAAGGAAGGTGCGAAAAACGAGGATGGGGGGACGGGGGAAGCAGCTGCAAAATTGTTTTGAAGAATCTTGTTGAAACAACTTGTGTGTGCAGAGTGTGGGACGGGGGAAGAATCTGACGAATCGAAGCCGCGAGAAGTTCTTGCACTTACATAAACAATTAAAAACCCACATTTACGGCAGTGGAGAGTGATTCCTTTCTGCTGCTGCCTGTGTCTTTGGAACGCCGCCATTCAGGCAGTGCTTGAAAGTGCTTTATCTTACTGGCTTTTAAAACCAGCACCACACCACACCACACCACCCACACCACAGCACACCACAGCACACCACAGCACACCACAGCACACCACAGCACACCACAGCACAGCACAGCACAGCACAGCACAGCACAGCACAGCACAGCACAGCACAGCACAGCACAGCACAGCACAGCACAGCACAGCACAGCACAGCACAGCACACCACACTCACAGCAGTGAGAAGTATTTCCTTAACTGCATCTGCTGCTGCCTGCCCCTTTGGAGCGCCGCCATTTAGGCTGTGCTTGATAGAGAAAGGGGATTATAATAACAGGTGTTAAATCACACACTCACAGCAGTGGGAAGTATTTCTTTGAGGGCTTCTGCTGCTGCCTGCGCCTTTGGAGCGCCGCCATTCAGGCAGTGCTTGAGAGAGAAGAGGCACTGTCGTACGGGGTTAGAATACGAAACTGCCCCATAGTCCACGAGGGTAATGTCGCGAATGCCCCATGCCTGGCGGGTTTAGACCAAGAGAGAGTGTGGGATGACAACAAGCATGTAAGAGAATGAACTCAAACGTTGTAAGCGGGAGCGGTGAGCATCTCAGCAGCAAGGGCTTTTGAGTCGATTCAAATGAGGGAGCGGTGAGCATCTCAGCAGTAATGGCTTTGCGAAGTCGCTGCAAAGCAAATGCTTCAGAGCACCTGGTTCGCTCGCTGCAAGCCATTGAAGCATTTCGTGCCTTTTCCTGCAAGCAAGCCACCTGACTGACACCCGAGGGGGGTTGCAACCAAGTCCTTCCCCAAGCAGCAAGCACTTGGTTGCAGTCAGCCACTCCAGCTGCAGCTGAGCCTGTGGCAGCACGCGCCACCTCATCAGTTTCAGCTTCAACCGTGGCCTCTATTTCCCATCAGCACAGATGCTGCAACAAGCACAGACTCACCAGCAGGGAGCGAGCAACTTGGCAACCAAGCGTGCCGGCCCCTAGAAGCAAACATTTTGTTACATTCAATCGCTCCAGCTGCAGCTGTGGCAGCACACGCCACCTCATCAGCTTCAGGTTGATCCAAGAAACACACAGACTTACCAGGAGAGAGCGCGCCACCTGGCACCCAAGAGTGCCAGCCCCTAACAGTAGACACTTGGTTGCATTCAACCGCTCCAGCTGCAGCTGTGGCAGCACGCGCCACCTCATTAGCTTCAGGTTGAGCGACGCCGCCTCGTCTGCCAGCCTGGTCGGGTCCATCAGCGGCGCCAGGTCAGCACACCGCGCCCCGGTTCGACCCTTGGTGTTCAGCTCCCAGCCAGTGGCGGATGGACACGTGGCAGGTGCTGTGATTGGGTTCAGCCAATCAGCTGCAAGGGAGAAAAGAAGGCAACTCGTGATATTTCAAGATGCCTAGAGGAAGTGGCATGAGAAAATGGCATCTGGATGTGTTTGGGTGGTATGTGTACGGACGTGCCTGGGGGAGGTGGTATGTGTACGGACGTGCCTGGGGGAGGTGGTATGTGTACGGACGTGCCTGGGGAGGTGGTAATTGTGTGGACGTGCCTGGGGAGGTGGTATGTGTGGACGTGCCTGGGGGAGGTGGTATCTGGACGTGCAGCAGCAGCGAGTGGTGCAGTCTGATTCGACCGTGGCGCTGGCGCAGGCAGAGCACGTGGAGAGACGTGGCCTGGGAGGGAGGCATAGAGAGGAAGGTACAGAAGGGAGGGTGCGCGGGTGTGAGTGGTGCAGGTTGATTCGACCGTGGCACTGCCGCAGGCAGAGCACATGGAGGGAGGAGGCATGGGAGGAATAGAAAGGGACAAGTCAAGGGAGGGGCGGGGAGGGTGGTGATGGAGGAGCGGAAGGGGAGGAGGAGAAAAAGCAAGAGAAACAGAGGAACAAGCTCTGACCTGCCAGCGAAGAGAGGCGAGGAGAAGCAGGTTGCGGAGGGGCCAGCCGGGGGAGAGGGGCAGATGGCAGGGGTCGAAGAACGCAACGAGGAGAGATGGAGGAGCGGAGGGGGAAGAGGAAGAGAGGGATTCGTTTGGGGTTGCCAGTCGCTGGTACTCTGTTAACGGATGTGCTGTTACTGAGGGATGTGCGGAGCTGGTATTAGTGGCGCTGGTGTCTATTTGGAGAAGGAAGAAAGGGGCACCCTTCTCCGATAAGAGGGCTTCCGATGCAGTTTCTCCTACTATGGCTGCTGCTGCTGCTGCTGCTGCGCTGTCCGCTGTTCTTATTTCTCCACTTGCGCTCTCATTGCCTTTCTCTCCTTGTCTTCCCTCTTCCACTTCCCCATTCTCTGCTGCTTCGCCGTCCGTAACTGCCCTCTTGTTTCCGTTCTCTTTCCCTCCCTCGGGACCCTCAGCTTCGCCAGTCAACGCAGCTGCTTCCACTTCCCTTGGCCCCCTCCCACTCCCTTCTTGTCTCCATCGCTCACACTCCTTCTCGATAGCTTCTGCCTGTATTGTAGAAGGAATGGGAGGGGTGAAAGAGAAGTTTGACGGATGAACCTCCTTCGCCTCAAATCATACTACATTCATTTAAGATGAGTTTATTCATAAGATGAGTTTATTAGGAAATCGCTCCACTCTCTCAAAGATTAAAAGCACGAGTTGGGTCGAGAAGGGGAGTGTACGGCTCAGGCAGAACAGAAGGGTCATGATGAGCACCCCAAAATAGAAGTGAGAAGGCCTGAGTTGCAGGCAGAGGGGGAAAAGCGAGGATGGCAGAGGAGGGGAGGGAGGAAGCCGGGAAAGCGAGGATGGCAGAGGAGGGGAGGGAGGAAGCCGGGAAAGCGAGGATGGCAGAGGAGGGGAGGGAGGAAGCCGGGAAAGCGAGGATGGCAGAGGAGGGGAGGGAGGAAGCCGGGAAAGCGAGGATGGCAGAGGAGGGGAGGGAGGAAGCCGGGAAAGCGAGGATGGCAGAGGAGGGGAGGGAGGAAGCCGGGAAAGCGAGGATGGCAGAGGAGGGGAGGGAGGAAGCCGGGAAAGCGAGGATGGCAGAGGAGGGGAGGGAGGAAGCCGGGAAAGCGAGGATGGCAGAGGAGGGGAGGGAGGAAGCCGGGAAAGCGAGAGGCGCGCACGCAAAGGTGCAGCAAAGTGAGTTGAGGCAAGAAAGGGAGTTACAGAATAGGGGCACTCACCAGTTGCGGAGAAAAGGCTTGCGTTGCAGGCAAAGGCGGGCCAGCAAGTGTGGCAGGGGCGGGGAGGGCGAGAGCAGGGAAGGCAAAGGCGTAGTGGAAGCGCCAATGCTTGATGTCTGGATAGACGAGGAGGAAGAACGCGTTGAGGAGAGATGGGTTGCTTTCTGCCTTGCCAGATAAAACGTCCTGCCAAAGCTGAGGAGATGTGGGTGGGGGGAGGGGAGGGCGCAGAGAGAAGGCAGGGAATTGGCTGACATACGACAAAGGCCTTTGTCGTAAAATGGATGTGGCAGAATAGAGAAATGCATGTGTTCTACAGGAAGGATGGTGCATTGCTCGACTGAAAAACAACTTGATGGAGATGTATATAGGATGACGCATGGATAACAGCAAGAGGACATTGAAAGATAGAACTAACAGTTAAATTGCAGGATTAATTCGCCTAACAGTTTCGTCCACAATTCACTCCTTTCCCGTCACTGGTGGTAGGATAACTGGAAGCTACGCATACACACACACACACACACACTCATGATTCTCCTCTTAGTGAAAATTTGATCCATACTGGCTCTCTAAGAAACGCTCTAAGCTAGCGCGAAACCAGGCTTTTTCCGCCATCATTCCATGGGGTTTGTTTCTCTGTCCTAAAACAGCAAGAGTTGATGGAAATAAGGCCTCCGCAGCCCACCTGTTCACTTTCGACAGCTCCTTTCCCCTCACTGGTGGTAGGATAACTGGAAGCAACGCATACACACACACTCATGATTCTCCCCTCACCTGCTGCGCCACTCCCTCCATCATCTTCCGTCGGTCAAACGCCCGAAACGCCTCCACTGTGTTGGCAATCAGTAGCACTCCCGCTACCACACTCCGACCATCGCTGATGGTAACCACACTGGTAACCACACACTTAGTTCACTCTCGTTCTCCCTCTCACCTGCTGCGCCACTCCCTCCCTCATCTTCCGCCGGTCAAACGCCCGAAACGACTCCACTGTGCTGGCAATCAGTAGCACTCCCGCTACCACACTCCGACCATCGCTGGTGGTAACCACACTGGTAACCACACACTTAGTTCACTCTCGTTCTCCCTCTCACCTGCTGTGCCACTCCCTCCCTCATCTTCCGTCGGTCAAACGCCCGAAACGACTCCACTGTGCTGGGAATCAGTAGCACCCCTGCCTGACACTATGCTGCTGACATCCCTGGTAACCACACTCATAACCACACACTCACGCACGCACACACGCACGCATGCACGCACACACGCACACTCACTCATGCTCATCCTCTCACCTGCTGCGCCACTCCCTCCATCATTTTTCTCCGGTCAAACGCTTGAAACGATTCCACTGTGATCACCATCATCACGGTTCTCCTCAGGCCAATCTCACCTGCAACTACGCTCCTATCACACCGGTCATTACACAGGTAAACACACTCCCTCTCTTCCCCTCACCTGCTGTGCCACTCCCTCCATCATCTTCCGTCGGTCAAATGCTCGAAACGACTCCACTGTGTTGGCAATCCGTAGCACCCCTGCCACGACGCTCCTGCCATCGCTGGTAACCACACTCCTGCTCTCATTGCTGTTCGCAACATCTGTGCTGCTTGCGCTAGTGATGTGACCGGTGCTACTGACAGCGCTGCTGCTGCTGCTGTTGCCAGCAGTGGCGATGACGTCAGAAGCAGCAGCGACCTCGGCAGTGGTGGTGACGTCAGCACTGGTGCTGTCCGAAGTATTGGTGGTATCATCCGGTTGAATGAGGTGGAAGCGAGGAGGTGGGGCAGGGGAAGGGGGGAAGGAGGCGGAGGAGAGGGAGAGGAAGGAGGGGAGCTGAGAGTGTGAGGATGGAGTGAAGAAACCTGTGAGTGAGGAAAAAGATTGGGAGAAAATAATGAAAAGGTTAAAAAAGGGGATTACCGAAGAATACATGAAGGGCGAAGGCTTATGCCGCTGAAAACACAGAACAGGTAGAGTGAACCATGCTTCCTTGGTCCGAAATCAGCTATAAACTCTTCCTTCCCTTGACGAACAGCCGTTAATACCACGAATAAGATATACTAATTCAGCATAAGCTGTCGTTATTTTGCAGCCAGCGAATCGAATCTTCAGCCAGCGACACGCAGCCTACCATGGATTGCCACGTCTTCCTCTTTCAGGCCTTGCGAGTCGACCTTCAGCGACGCGAGCTTCTCCCAGAACGACACGTCAACGGAGCTCTGCCACGTGGCGAACTGCAGGATGGATGACGTGGCCTCGCCCGCCATTCTGCGTTCGTGCGCAACTCCTACAATCGAATTAATATTTTAGAACTGTGATAAGCTGTACGCAGTCTAGGCGTGCCGTCAGAATGTACAATCTACGGAAGAGTACAGTATAACATCGTACACACGATTACAGCAACATGCGAAGCAATTTTACTAACTATTGTAGGATTCGATAATCTGTACAGTAGGCTAGCTGTGCCGGAGTACTTTGAATGGCCAGGTTGCGCCGTGAGCAGGAACCCAAGCGCGCTACGGCTTGCAGCTAACGGTGCAGACGGACTGAAATAGGAGTAAATTCACACTGAAGTGTGGTGCAGACGGACTAGAATAGGAGTAAATTCACACTGAAGTGTGGTGCAGACGGACTAGAATAGGAGTAAATTCGACCCAGGCGCGTTTGCGGTTACTCATTCCATTTCTAGGCTGCGCGAGATGTCACTGTGGCGAGTCAATTACCCAGTAACCTCGCATTACCCCTTCCCAGATTAACCTCACCTCGACCTAAAACGAATCTGTCCCGACCTGAACCAACCCGGACTCGCTAAAGTGAACGCATCTTGAGATCCACCAAGGCTATTCGCATGTGATGTTACCGTAGCGTCGCAATAGGTCGCCAGTCGCGAGCTTTGCTGTGTTTCTTCGCGATTCACAAGCCTGTGATAGGGCCTGTAACAAGGACAGGGTGCAGCTATTATTTGAAAGAATAGCATTGCTGAAACACACTACACTTTTATTGCACAGCTGGACAGCACACAATGATTTTGCTCATAAAAAAATGCAGATTACATTACAAGCACCCCGTCAATCGTGGGACATGACCAGGTCCCATCGCCATAGCCAGCCATCATCATCGCAGCTCATTATAATCCTGCAAAGCGAGCGAGGGCAAGGGAGATTACGTATGTAGTTATTTTCTGAAGCGTGTACCATATGAAAAAGCATAGTGAGAAAAAAAAATCAGGCACATGCAGTGGGCAGTGCGGTTACCTGCCATCATGTGACACGGCTGTTTGCCTGATTTGTGTTTTACAGTCCTTCCGTGAAAGCCTGTTGGGAATCCAGACAGTGGGAAAAAAAGACTATTAATGAGTTGTTATATTTTCAACATTACCGGTATGAGTTAAGAGCCAAAACTGTCACCGAATCAGCACGAGCATTAATAAAGAAAAGAAAAGAAAAGAAAACCCATCTTTTGCATACAACGCCAAGCCACACCAAACGTGTCATGACATGTCATGGCCATCCCACTTACGTGCTGAGGAGAATGGGGGGGGTTGATTGCAGATCGTACACATACACCTTGCCCACACAGTTGCCTGCGGTGGTGGAGAGGGGTGGTGGTGGGTGACACGGTAACAAAGGGATGCATGGCATGGTGTTAGTAAGAGCGAATAGGAGGGCAGGATTGCAGGTCATACACATACACCTTGCCCACACAATCGCCTGCAATGGTGGAGATGGGTGGTGATGGGTGGCATGGTAACAAACGGATGCATGGCATGGTGTCATTAGGAGCGAATAGGAGGGTTTGATTGCAGGTCATACACATACACCTTGCCCACACAATTGCCTGCAGAGGTGGCAAAGGGTGGCACAGTATGCATGGGATGGTGTCACTAAAATTGAATTGAATGCAGGTCATATACATACACCTTGCCCACACAGTTGCCTGCGGTAATGGAGACGGGTGGTGATGGGTGGCACGGTAACAAAGGGGATGCATGGCATGGTGTTAGTGAGAGCGAATGGGAGGGCTTGATAGCAGGTCGTACCCACACACCTTGCCCACATAATTGCCTGCTATGGTGGCCAAGGGTGGCATGGCGATACATGGCATGCCACAGTAATCGATTTTATCTTACGGAGTAACTATTGTACCAGGACAGGAATATATACACAAAGGAAGAAAGACCATACTAGGATAAATTATTGTAGCAATAATAACAGTAGTAGTACTAATGAGAATAACGTGATTTCTGAGTCAACTAAAAAAAGCAAAAGTGAGAGGGGTGATGAACCAGAGGGTGATTCTTCGATATAACTCAAAAAAGAAGGGTAAGGGAGGATCGTATACCTATGGCCATGATGTTGTTCATGAAGTCAAGGTCGAACTTAATGAACCAGAAGCCACAGTCTGGCACTGGGTAGCGCTGCAGAATGTCCAAGGCTCCCTGGAAAGACAGGATGACAGGATGACACAGATTCGTACGAGTAGATTCGTATGAGTAGAAAAGGTGGGATACTTTCAACAAGGCGGATCAATGAACTCGGTGGTACCGGTATGCTGGTTTGATTGACTTGACAATGCGGTGATGTGCTTATAACAGCAAGGCGTGTTTTGAGTCGACTCAAAACACAACGAACGTGGTGGCATGCTGGTTTGATTGACTTGACAATGTGGCGCAATGCTTATAACAGCAAGGCACGAAATGCCTACACGTCAGCAGGGCGAGGTGATTACATCAGCAGGGCCGCATGCTTACATCAGCAGAACGAGATGCTTACATCAGCAATGCGAGGTGCTTACATCAGCAATGCGAGGTGCTTACATCAGCAATGCGAGGTGCTTACATCAGCAATGCAAGGTGCTTACATCAGCAGGACGAATGGTTTACCTCATTAGGGTGGGCAGAGCCGGGTTCAGTACCAGGCTTGTGGCACCAGCGCCATAGGATGACCTCGTTGTCTACACTCTATAATCAATGCGCAATCAGAGGAACATACCATAAGAGGAACCAAAAATTCGAAAGCACGGGGACACAAAAAAGCAGAGTGGATGTGTAAGAATTCACAGGCAGTTGCACAGACAGTACACATAGAACATATTAATACATGCATATAAACCACAATTTGATAATTTATAATAGAGGGACATACTTTAGAGAGCACGAAGTCTCCATTCCACCGAAGGCAGTCAATGTAGTTGGTGTGTACGTCACACACCACGTATAGCTGGGTGGCATGCGGTGCGAAACGGTGGGGGAGGGTGAAGGGAGCAGCCAGGAATGAGAGGCAGTCAATGTAGTTGGTGTGCAGAAAACACATTACGCACAGCAAGACTATGTGGCAGGAAGGGGGAAGGTGGGGCAGGAGGGAGGGAGTGCGGAGGGGCAGAAGGGCGCGAAGTGGGATCAGACGTTGAAAACGACGAGGAATGAGAGGCAGTCAATGAAGTTGGTGTGTGTGTACGTCACAAACCCACGTACAGCTGGGTTGTGGGATAGGAAGACGGGAGTGGGAGGTAATACAGTTGTAACAAAGGTGCCTTAACAACATGACTCACAGGGTACTGTAGAATCTTGGTCGGGAACTTCGATGGGAGGTCGTTTTGAGTCGACTCAAAGCATATAAGGTGCCTTAATAAAAATGACTCACAGGGTACTGTAGAATCTTGGTAGGGAACTTGGATGGGAGGTCTGTCCAAGTGAAGGACTGGTCTACCACGTGCCAGCACTCTGGTGAAGGGAAGGAGTGAAACAGAGAAAGAGAGGGAGAGAAGGTGGAGAGGTACGTGAGAGGCGTGGATGGGAGGTCTGTCCAGGTGAAGGACTGGTCTACCACGTGCCAGCACTCTGATGGGGGGAGTTGGGAAGTTTTAGAACAGAAAGAAAGGAATGGAGGACGATAAGGATGGGGAGAGGGAGTGAGCAAGAAATAGTGAGGGCCTCTAGGAAACTTGGATGGGAGGTCTGTCCAAGTGTTGGACTGCTCTACGACGTGTCAGCACTCTGGTGAAGGGAAGTGAGGAGGAGAGGAGACAACCAGAGAAAGACAAGGAGAAAGTGTGGAGACATTCGTGAGAGGCTTGGATGGGAGGTCTGTCCACGTGTTCCCATCCAAAAAAACTGCTCTACGACGTGCCAGCACTCTGACGGAGGAGAGGCGACAAGGAAAGGAGACAAATGGAGAAAGACAGGAAGAGGGGTTGGGAAAATTCGTGAGAGGGTTTGGATGGAGCGTTTGCCAGTGTCCTTGCAGGAGTCAGGACTTTCAAGGCGCCTATCTATTCGACTTTTAAGGTGCCTTCAATTTTGTGAAAGGGTTGCTGCTGTCCATGCCACAGCCGGCGATGATGGCCCCACTGTGAGTGCGAGAAAGAGTGTAGTGAGTGTGAGAAGGGCGTAGCATGGGTGTTCTAGTGCGAGTACTGTCACCAAATACAGTGGTAAAGAACAATATATTTGGTTGTACGCTATAGTTGGTGTAGTGAGGTGTAGGATTGGGGTTATGCGACTTTACAGAAGGGTTGTTGAGCTTCAAGGAAATGACGCGAAGTTGGTAGCAAGGGGAATTGGGACATTGGGAAGAGCCACAAGCGCCTCGAGGAGCAGGGAATCTGCAGCAACCAGTAAGGCAAATGGCGACTCGAACCCAACCCAAGGCCAGGGAAATGTTCGCGACTCTGGGTAGGGAATAAAGCACCCTAGCCTAGACACTAGGATCCGCTCTCTCGTTTTGTTTGCCTACTATAGTGGATTCAATTCACCGTTCTAAGGCTACGGCAGCTAGGTGATACGCCACAGAGGGCAGCCAGCTTGTGGGAGCAGGGATCTCTCACAAAACGAGAGAGGGCTTAGTGGCGACATGGATTGCCACGATCAACGTGTGCAGCGTACGTACTCGCGGCGGGAACGATCTCCGTCGCGGAGAAGACGCTCGAGGGAGCGCGGGAGATCGCCGACGCGCTCGCTACGTCGGGCGGCGTACCGCGCGGATCCGGTGACGCCGACGGACGTGCGAAGGGAAGAAAGTGAGAAGGACCTGCGCGTCAGGTCGGAGCCGTGGAGGCGGCCGACGATCAGCAACCCGTGGAACCTGGCAGAAGGCCAACGCGGGACGGGTGGAAGGCGTGACAACGCCGACGACGACGGATTGCCCACTGCGCGGGGCGGAGGAGGGCGTGAAAACGCCGACGACAACAGATCGCCCACTGCGAGGGGCGGCGGAAGGCGTGAAGACGCCGACGACGACGGATCGCCCACTGCGCGGGGCGGCGGAAGGCGCGCAAACGCCGACGACGAAGGATCGCCCACTGTGCGGGGCGGCGGAAGGCATGAAAACGCTGACGACGACGGATCGCCCACTGCGCGGGACGACGAGAAGCGTGAGAACGCCGACGACGTCGGATCGCCCACTGCGCGGGCCGGCGGAAGGCGGGAAAACGCCGACGATGACGGATCGCCCACTGCGCGGGGCGGCGGAAAGCGTGAAAACGTCGACGATGACGGAGCGCCCACTGCGTGGGCCGGCGGAAGGCGTGAAAACGTCGACGAAGACAGATCGCCCACTGGGCGGGGCGGCGGAAGGCGTGACGCGGCCGACGAGGAGGAGTTCCCCACTACGCGGGGCGGCGGAAAGCGCGACATCGCCAACGATGAGCAGGCTTTCCCTGTTGCGCGGGAAGGAGGAGGGCAAAGGTACAAGAGGAGGGATGAAAGGGAGCGAGCCCGACACGAAAAGGTGCGGGGAGAGGACGAAGAGCACGGGAACGAGGAGTACTCACCTGCGGGACGGCAGGAAGAGGGAAAGAGAGCATCAGCGGGTGTCTACCGCTCGCCTGAGCCGAGACCCGGATATGACCGCCGACGGCGCATGGCGATGGGTGAAGGTCGGTGGGCCGAGCGGGAACAGCGGGAAGAGAGGTTGGACTATGAGGAGCGACGTCAGCAGAGCCCGCCTGAGTGGGAGCAGGTATGCAACAGAGAAGGACGAGAAAGGGGAAGGCGATCACCGCTCGGCTCCAGAGCAGAAGGAGGAGGTCGGCAGCGGAGGGAGCAAGAGTGGCATCGCCAGGAACGTTCACCTGTGCGGGGAAATGGACGTTGGGAGGATCAGGAAAGGTGCAGGAGACAGTGCGAGGACGCCCAGAGGAAAGGTCAGAGTTCCAGTGGCACTAGGAGGCTATGGCAGCATGGAGAAGGATCGAGTGGGGCCAGGGCAGCTCGTGAGGGACTGGAGCGAGCACTGTACGGGACAAGCGCAGGAAGCAGAGGAGATAAAGGAAAGCAGCGAGGGGCTGCTCTGACAGATCGGGGAGGCTCGGGGAGTTGGGATTTGGGGAGATGGGGCGCAACGGCAGTACCACGGGTGGAGGTGCCGGTACGCTTCACAGGGAACGAGAACACAGGACCAAGCCTCAAGAACTACCTGATGCAGATCAGCAATGTGAAGTATCGGTGCGAGCGAAGCGGGATGGACCCCATAGACTTCTTCTTGAGCCTGCCAAACACACTCGGGGGGGAAGCAGAAACCTTATATCGCATGAAGATAGGAGAGTGGTTGAGGAGGGCCGATGAGGATGAGGAGGACCCGACGGTGCTATTTCTGGACCGGCTGAGAAAGCAGTTTCCAGGGCACACAGCGGCGCGCATCAAAGAGTTTCAAGAGTTCAAGAGGAGGGACGAGGAATCTTTGCTAACGTACTACGGCCGGCTGATGAATCTAGCAGAGGACGTGGTGTGCACGGACAGCAGTATGATCATTAGTAAATTCCTAAATGGGCTGGACAAGGGACTGGCAGGGGGACTGAGAATGCGGGTTTACGAGCTGGGAGCAGATGCGACACCTGAAGAGGTGTTTGAGCTAGCAGAGAGAGTGGAGCTGGCACAGAGAAAGTATGAGGTGTACCTGCCGCGGCCAACAGAGAGGAAGAATCCTGCTTGGGCTGCAGCAATGATACCTGAGACGGGAGGAAGAGAAGAGAGCCGACAGGAAAGAGGAGCTGAGACACGCACCTGCCACCGATGCAAGCAGCCAGGGCATCTGATGAGAAATTGCAGGAATTGCGACACCTGTGGGAAGCCAGGCCACCGCCGAAGGGACTGCCCGGATGCACCCAGCTGCGAGGTGTGTGGGAAGCGGGGGCATAAGGGGAAGGACTGCTACCAACGCACAGGAGGGCCAAGGAGGACGCCAGAGGAGATAGAAGGGCAGATAGAGAGATTGCAAGCATAGCTGCAGGCACTGGGAGGGAAGAAGGAGAAAGAGGCAGGATTGTATGCAAGGGAAGAGGATGACGAAGCAGAGGTGATAGATGAACCAGCGTCTGAGTACAATTTCATGGTGTTGCGCAGCCGAGAGGAGTTGGGCCTGCGCAGCGGGGGCAGGGATGGAAGAAAAGAGCAAGAGGTGAGGAGCAGGCCAAAGAGAGCCCCAGAGGAGAAGGGTAGTGGGGAAGAAGAGCCAGCCAGGCATCCCAAGGAACGGCTAGCCAGTCAAGCGACGGTGCTGGTGGCAGGAGCGGGAACAGTGGCAGTGGGAGGGGAAGTGGCAAGAACTGCGATTATAGATACGGGGGCACAGAGTGTGATGTTGGGGAGGCGGTTAGCAGAGAAGCTGGGGTTGAACGGGCCGGGACAGCACATAAAACGAGGAATGCTAGTAATGACAGCAGAGGGAGGTGAGCCTAAGTCCCTGCCGTGCACCAAGACTCCAGTGGAGATAGTCCTGATGCCGGGGAAGGAGGAGCAGACTAGTATAAGGCTGCAATGTGGGATTTCAGACTCAGAAGATTTTGATGTACTGCTGGGCACAGACCTGATTTGGGGAGTAGGGATGACCATCTGCACGTGGAAAGAAAAGGTAAAGTTTCGGAAGCAGTATTGGGAGCGGGGGAGCAAGACGGGAGAGCTGCCTGTGTCATTCACTAAGCAGGAGCCAAAGAGGGCGTACACGGGCGAGCAGATGGGGACCAGGGAGAGAGGGAGAGCAGGGATCGTGGGAAAAGCAGCAGCAGTCAAGGCATGGCAAGAGCCGATAAGGCTAGTTGAGCTGTTTGGGGGAATAGGAGCAGGGCTGGCAGCAGTGCTCAAGGCAGGAGTGGCCGTAAGGGAATGGGTATACGTGGAAAATAACGAACAGGTGAGGAAGATGGCAGAGCACCATGCGAGAAAGCTGCAGCAAGAGTACCCCGAGCTACTAGAAGAAGCAGTGATAGTGAAGGCAATGCGAGGAACAGTGACTAATGTAAGAAGCATCACGCGGGAGGTGGTGAGGAGCTGGGGGCATGTGGACCTGCTGGTGGCCGGATGGGAGTGTCAGGCTGTGTCAAGGGCAGGGAAAGGAAAGGGATTAGGAGATCCAAGAGGGGCGCTGCTGGTGAACTTGCTGTGCATCATAGACTGGATTAAGGAAGGACAGGAGAAGGTGGTATACCTGCTGGAGCACCTGGATCTGGAAGGGGACTGCAGGGAGCCTGTCAGGAAAGTGCGGGAGTTAGTGACAAGGAAGCTGGGGAAAGGGGTAAGATGTGATGCGGCCAGGCTGGGGGCTCGAGCTCATCGTGTCCGGCGATACTCGCAGAACGTGGTCACAGATGAGCAACTGCAGCAGGAGCTGGATGGAATACGCAGGGACTGGAGCAGGACCGTGCGAGAGATTCTAGAGCCCGGGAGGACAGCGGCACCTGTCAGGAAAGGCAGGCATGAGACACAATGCCCATGCAACAAAGTGGGGGCAGAGCGCAGGGCATGGCCGACATTAGTGGGGTACGAAGGGGCAGCTGGGTTCAGAATGGAAAACGGGCTGCCAGGAGAAGGCATGGTGTATGACTGCCGTTCAAAGAGATGGGAGGAGCCAAGTGCGTTAGAGAGGGAATGAGCAATGGGGTATGGAGAGGAGGCCACCAAGGCAGCAGGGGTGACAGAAAAGGAGAGAAGAAGAGCGTTAGGACAGGCCATGGACGGACAGGTTATGCAGTGGTTACTGAGGCGGATGTGGAGAGGGCTGGTGCTGGAAGAGGAAGGAGGAGAAGAGAGTGGGGGGACCAGGGTGAAAAAGGTGGGGGCATGGGTATGCATGGCAGCCAAGGAAGAGCCAGCATGGGTCGTGGGGAATGCAATGAGTGAGAAAGGAAAAGAGGCAATGCAGGAGGTGCTGGCGAGGTATAGGCACGCCTTCGCGTTTACCATGCAGGAGCTGGGGAAGTGCACTGTGAAGGAGATGGAGCTGAAGCTGGTGACGGACGAGCCGGTATACCAGAGGAAGCGGAGGATGACCCCTGGAGATGAGGATGTCTGCAAGGAGAAATGTAAGGAGCTGATGGAAGCAGGGTTGATACAGAGGTCGGAATCAGAGTATGCAGCACCAACGGTAGTAGCTGCCCGAAAGGATCTGCTGGGGGAGGTGCTGAGCAGACGCATGTGTGGGGATTACCGGGCACTGAACAAGGTGACAGTGCCTGACCGCTACCCAATGCCCACAGCTGAAGATATCTTTGACCGGCTGGGGGCAGGTGAGGTCTTTAGCACGCTAGACTTAAGACAGGGGTTCAACCAGATTAGGATAAGGAAAGAGGACGTGCGGAAGACGGCGTTCCATGGAGCGGATGGCCTATACGAGTGGCTGTTCATGCCATTCGGGCTGCGAAACGCGTCTGCCATCTTTCAGAGAGTAATGGACAGCGTGCTAAGGGGGCTGGAGTGCGCGGCGTGTTACATAGATGATGTAGTAATTTTCAGCCGGACGGAAGAAGAGCATGTGAGAGACGTGGAGCAGACACTGAAGGCGTTGGCAGCAGCTGGGCTGACATGCCATCCGAAGAAGTGTAGGTGGGGAGAGGCAACAGTGCAGTACCTGGGCTATGAGGTTAGGGGCGGGCAGCTAGGGATCCAGCAGGCGAAGATTGAGGTGCTGAACAGGCTGCAGCAGCCAAAGGACAGAAGCGGACTGAGGGCGGTACTGGGATTTCTGAGCTATTACCGCAGGTTCGTCCCGAATTTCAGTAAGCGGGCTGCACCACTGAACGGGCTGCTGAGGGAGGACAGGAAGTGGGAATGGGGGATGGAGCAGGAAGCAGCATTGAAAGATCTGATGGAAGCGGTGCAGACAGCAACGATTCTGCAGCTACCCAAGAATGACAAGCCCTTTTGCCTATACACCGACTGGAGCAGCCAAGGCATGGGGGCAATCCTGTGCCAGGAGTTAGATGGGGAGGAGAGGGTTGTGGCATACGCAAGCAGGAGCTGCAGCCCAGCGGAAGCCAAGTACAGCTCTTACCACGGAGAGGGGCTGGCAGCCGTGTGGGCTGTGAAACACTTCAGGGTATACCTGCAGGGAAGGAAGTTCACACTGATTACAGACCATCAACCTCTGCAATGGCTGATGACCCACCAAGGGCTGACAGGAAGGAACGCGCGTTGGGCCGTGACGTTGCAAGAATATGACTTTGAGATACGCCACAGGCCGGGAAAGACTCTGCAGCACGTGGACGGGCTCTCAAGGAACCCGCCGGTAGCAGAGCCAGTACACACGCTGATGTTGCTGGCAAGGCAAGGGGAAGAGGCAGCAGCAGGGAAGCAAAAGGGGCCAAGGGATATTTGGGAAGATCCAGCAGCACTGCGATGGATCCAGGGAGAAACTGATGAGGAGGAGCAGGTCTCTGACAGGGTCAGGGCAAGGGGGCACCATTACCGATGGTACCAGGGACAGCTGCAGTTACAGACAGCGGACGGATGGAAGCTGGTACCTGCACCACAGGACAGGGAGGGAGTGATTAAGGAGGTGCACAGGAAGCTGGGGCACTTTGGGCACGAGCGCACGACGGAACTGTTGAAGACTGGCTGGTGGTGGGAGGGTATGAGAAGGCAGGTCAGGGAATGGGTCAGCGGGTGCGAAGGCTGTCAGAGGAGCAAGGCCAGCCTAGCACAGGCGAAGCAGGAGCTGCAGTCACTGCCGATAAGAGGGTTAGGGTTCAGGTGGTCTCTCGATATAGCTGGTGAACTGCCACTGAGCAGGGGAGGCAAGCGGTATATACTGCTAATGGTGGAACACGCGAGCAAGTGGGTTGAGGTGTGTGCATTGCCGAGCAAAGATTCCAGGCACGTGGCAAAGGCGTTCAAGGGACAGGTCCTGTGCAGGTTTGGGGCACCAGGGGAAGTGCTCACAGATCAGGGGACGGAATTCAGAGGGGAATTTCAGGCACTGCTGGACGAGGCAAGGGTGACACACAGGCTGACATCAAGGTACCACCCACAGAGCGATGGGTTGACTGAGCGCCTGGTGCAAACCCTGAAACGGAACCTGAGGGCATACGGAGAGAAGCGCAAGAGAGACTGGGATGAGGAGTTGGACTGGATTGCAGCGGGGTACCGGTTTGGGAAGCAGGCCTCCCTGAAAGACTATTCCCCGTATAGCATGTTGTTCGGGAAGGAGCCAATCCTGCCAGTGGGAGCACCGAGGGTGCTGACAGATGTGGTGCAAGTCACAGGAGCAGAGCAGTGGGTGGCACTAGCGGAGGCACGGGCACGATACATGCGGGAGATGCTCCCTGCGGCCCTGGAAAATCTGCACACGGCGCAGTTGAGGGACGCACACAGGTATGAGCAGCGGCAGCAGCAGGGGGGCAGGAAGGCCAGACCAGCAGTGATGGAAGGACAGGAGGTATACCTGCGCAGGGCAAAGAGGGATACGCTGGACGTGGGGCTAGGAACGCAGAGATGGAAGGTGAAGGAGGTGAGAGGGTCTGGAGTGCTGGTACTGGAGAACGACAAGGGGGAAAAGACTGTGGATCATCAGACCAATGCGGCGGTGGTAAATGGACGAGGGCCTCAGCGAGAGGGTCCTGTGACCCGCACTCGGGTAGCCCGAGAACGGGCACAGGAGGGGGCAGGTAGTGGCTGAGGCTGAGGCACGCAAAGCCTGCGGGCAGACAGGGAAGTGCAGAAAGATGAAGGGTAAGAGGACAAGGGAGGAAGCAGCCAAGGGGTGAGGTGAGAAAAAGGAGATCTCCGACAGCTGTCACCAAATACAGTGGTAAAGAACAATATATTTGGTTGTACGCTATAGTTGGTGTAGTGAGGTGTAGGATTGGGGTTATGCGACTTTACAGAAGGGTTGTTGAGCTTCAAGGAAATGACGCGAAGTTGGTAGCAAGGGGAATTGGGACATTGGGAAGAGCCACAAGCGCCTCGAGGAGCAGGGAATCTGCAGCAACCAGTAAGGCAAATGGCGACTCGAACCCAACCCAAGGCCAGGGAAATGTTCGCGACTCTGGGTAGGGAATAAAGTAGCCTAGCCTAGACACTAGGATCCGCTCTCTCGTTTTTTTTGCCTACTATAGTGGATTCAATTCACCGTTCTAAGGCTACGGCAGCTAGGTGATACGCCACAGAGGGCAGCCAGCTTGTGGGAGCAGGGATCTCTCACAAAACGAGAGAGGGCTCAGTGGCGACATGGATTGCCACGATCAACGTGTGCAGCGTACGTACGTACCCTAAACCCTAGGTGGGGGTTGGAACCCAACCTTGGCCCAATTATTGGACCCCAAGGTTGGGTTGGAGGATTATTGGCCCCCCAATAATGTTGGCCCACTTTGACCAACATTATTGGGACCCCCCAATAATTCTCCAACCCAACTTATTGGTGGGGGCCAATAATGTTGGCTAGGTACCAACCACCCCTCTCTTCCTTAGCTCCAACTATGTAAGCCCTCATCATTCCTAATCAAGTTATCGGTTCAATTCCCACATGCTATCAGAGCCCTTACGGCTAACGCCACTCAAGATCCTAGGACCATACCCTACCTCCCGCCGGCTCTGCCGTGCCCCTTGCGCTCCTTAGCGCACCTCCCGCCGGCTCAGCCGTGCCCCTCGCGCCTCTCAGCGCACCTCCCGCAGGCTCTGCCGTGCCCCTTGCGCCACTTAGCGCACCTCCCGCCGGCTCAGCTGTGCCCCTCGCGCCGCTCAGCGCACCTCCCGCCGACTCTGCCGTGCCCCTCGTGCCACCTCGGCGCCCCTCTCCTCACCACGTCCGCCCCCCGCGACGAACGTGCCCATCAGCCGCGGACGCGACGAACGCGCCCGTCAGCCGCGGACGCGACGAACGCGCCCGTCAGCCGCGGACGCGACGAACGCGCCCGTCAGCCGCGGACGCGACCAACGCGCCCGTCAGCCGGGGACGCGACGAGCGCGCCCGTCAGCCGCGGACGCGACGAACGCGCCTGTCAGCCGCGGACGCGACGAACGCGCCCGTCAGCCGCGGACGCGACGAACGCGCCCGTCAGCCGGGGACGCGACGAGCGCGCCCGTCAGCCGCGGACGCGACGAACGCGCCCGTCAGCCGCGGACGCGACGAACGCGCCCGTCAGCCGGGGACGCGACGAGCGCGCCCGTCAGCCGCGGACGCGACGAACGCGCCCGTCAGCCGCGGACGCGACGAACGCGCCCGTCAGCCAGGGACGCGACGAGCGTGCCCGTCAGCCGCGGACGCGACGAACGCGCCCGTCAGCCGCGGACGCGACGAACGCGGCCGTCATCCGCGGGCGCGACGAACGCGGCCGTCAGCCGCGGGCGCTACGGACGCGGCCATCAGCCGCGGACGCTGCTGAGACGCCCACCAGCTGCGGATGCAGTGGACGCCGCGGAGACGCACACCAGCCGCGACGGACCCTGAATTAGGGCTTACTGCTACCGCCCGTGGAGCAGCCGGACCGCCCTGTCCCTCAAGACGGTGTTGTCCACCTCCCCTCCCTCCCTCCTCCTCCTCTCATGGCCGACGAATCAACCTCGCTTGAGCTTGCCTCCATCGACAAGCTCGAGCTCCTCAACGGCACCACCGCCGTCAATTGGGTGTCGTTTGAGGAGAGCCTCTTCACGTACCTGGGCTCCGTTCGAGTGGGAGATTACTGTCTCCTAGACGTTGTCCTCGAAACACCTAATGGCCTCCCCCCCACCCCGCCCCCACTCCCAGGCCCCTCCCCCCCCGACGCCCCACCACTCCCGACCGAACCTGCCCCCCAAGCCCCTATCCTAGGGGCTTGGGAGGATGATCCGGACAGGTGGGCTCGCACGCTCAACAAATACAACAAGGAGCGGGACGACTATGTCATCAAAAGCAGAGCACACGCAGCGGCCATCGCCGATCACGAAGCTGCCGCTGCAAAACTTGCAGAATTCAAAGCCGCCTCCGAAGAGTACTCTGCTAAGCTCCGTAAGCACCACTCCGATACAGCTGCATGGCGCATTGCTGACCGCCGTGCACTTACTATCATCTTCTCATGCGTTCCCTCCTCCCTCAAGCGTGACCTTCGCCCCCCATCCTCCCCCTCCCTCTGGAAGTCTCTCTCCTCCCAATATGATCGCCAGGACCTACGTTCCCTCCTCTCCCTCTTTCGCACATTCCAAGACATCACACTGGACTCCTCCCTCAACGCTACTTCCTTCGCTCGGCGCCTCACAGACACTGCACAACGTCTCAATGATCGTGGCATCTTAATCTCCGACACCCTCCTCACAGCACGCATCCTTGACTGCCTCCCACCCACCTACGACACTTATCGCATCAACTTCACCTCCCAGCACATCCGTCCTCCTCCTGTGGCTGTTACCATCGACTGGCTTCTTGACAGTGAGGCTGACCTTCTGCGTGAATCTGCCTCCATCAATGCCGTTCATGCGCGCAAAGGAACAAACACCGGCGGCAGCAGCGGGGGCGGACCAGGACGTGGCTCGGGCGGTGGTGGAAGAGGAGGCGGTCGCGGAGGTGGACGAAGAGGGCGCACTGGGGAACGTGGCGGGCGTGGGGCAATCACTTCAACCACGGGTGGGCTCTCTCCGTGCCAGTATGTCATTCGCCAAGGCCCTAACAAAGGTCAGACCTGCAACCAGACCACCCATCCCACTGATACGTGTTTCAAAGCTCTCACCGACGAATGGCTTGCACGCGGCAACACGGGCCCTCCCCCACGCTGGAGCACCATCACCCCTCGCCCCACCCCTCATGACATTCGCACCCTTCCTGCCTATGCACCATCTCCCCCCAACCTTCATAATGTCCTCGCCCAACACCTCTCGCCTCACGTCCTCCAGCAAGTCCAACACCTCCTCCCCACACCCACCATCACCCCAACACCTCCCACCCTTACCACACCCACCCTCGCACCTCAAAACCCTCCCTCCCCCTATCCTCCTCTCTCCCCTTATCCTCCTCCTTACGCTGGCTGTCCCTACCCTCCCTACCCCCCATCTCTGTATGGCCATGGGACAGCTGCAACTGCTGCAACTGCTACAACTGCTGCACCTGCTGAACTGCCCACCTCCCCCTCTCACCCCCCCGGCTTCACACCGTTTCCTTCCACGGGTTTCATAGGCCATGTCACCACTGCTAGCTCTTGCATTGATCCTCTGTATGCCAATGCTATTAATGAGTCCTCATTCCAGTACTCCGAGTCCTCCTCCTCCTCAAAGCCCCTTGAGTTCATCCTTGATAGCGGAGCCACACACACGGTCCTTCGTGACGCAGGCACGCTCCTCCCCCTCTCCACCCCCTCCACAGTACTTGGGGCTGACTCCAGCTTTGCGATACAAAGCCGCTACACCTCCACACTCCCCTGTCCCCTCTTTCCCTCAGGTACTGTCACAGGTCTCTATATCCCCTCCCTTCGGAACAACTTGGTATCCCTTGGTGCCCTCTCCGACTCAGGTGTCACCACCATATTCCCTGGTCACAAAGCATATTGCGACTTATTTCACACCTCCTCCGGTCGCTTCCTCTGCCGTGTCCATCGGTGCCCCTCCACCCACATGTACACCTTCCGCATCCCCCGTCCCACCCTTCACCAACTCTCCACACCCCATCCCCCCGCCCCTTCCCCTCCTCTCGAACTCCCCCCTACCCCTCCCCCTCCCCTTCCCCCCCCTCCTCCCCCTCCCCCTCCCTCTCCCCCTCCCCCTTCCCCTCAACCTCTTCCTTCCCCCTCCCCTTCCCCTCCCCCCGCATCTAACCCACCCTCCCCCTGTCACTGTCGTGATCTCACACACCCCACCATTCTCCTCCACCATCGCCTTGGCCATCCCAACTTTGCCACCCTTCGCAGATCCATCCTCACTAAACTCCTTGACGGCCTCCCCCTTACCCTTCCCCCCCTCCCTCCTTCCCCCTCCCCTCCTTGCTCAGTTTGCGTTGAAAGCAAGCTAAAGCAACAACCACATACGAGTAACCCCTCCTTTTCCCTCCAACCCCTTGACCTCGTCCACATGGACCTTTGGGGCCCCAACCCCTCCCCCACCAGGCAAGGACATCGCTACCTCCTCATCCTGGTGGATGATCACAGTCGATACTCCTCCGTCACCCTCCTTCGTACGAAGGCGGAGGCCCCGGCTGCCATCACAGCCTGGGCTGAACAAGCACGCAACCACTTTGGTCGCCCTGTTCGCCGCTTCCATTCCGATGGAGGCGGTGAGTTCCTCAACCGCACCCTGTCCTCCTACTGCACCTCTCACGGCATCCTCCACACCTACACTCTCCCTCACTCCCCTCAGCAGAATGGTGTGGCGGAGAGCCGCGTTCGGGAGATCACCAAAACTGCCCGGTGCCTTCTCGTTCACGCCTCCTGCCCACCTTCTCTTTGGGGCTATGCCATCCTTCACGCTGCCATCCTCACTAACCTCTACCCCCACCCCTCTCGTCCCACTTCCACCCCCACCGAACTATGGACCTCCAGCAAGCCAGATATATCCCCTCTGCGCGTGTGGGGTTGCAAGGCGTATGTCCTCATACACCCTGCCGACCGCCCACGTGCACGTGGAAAGCTTGCGTCTCGCACTCTCCCCTGTGTCTACCTTGGACACAACACCACCTCACCTGACTACCTTTTCCTCCACCCCCCCTCAGGCCGCCTCATCCGTAGTCGGGACGTGGTCTTTGACGAGGCCACCCCGTACTACACCTCTTCCTCCGCCCCTAACCCCCTTCCCCCACTTCCCCGGCCCCTTCTCTGGACTGACACACTGCCCCTCCTCCCGTCCCCTGCCATGACCCCTCCCCCCCCTCCTCCACCTCTCCCCCCCGCCCCCCTCTCCTCCAGCTCCTCCGGCGACATCCTTAACCCACCCCCCCCCCTCCCCCTCCCACTCCACTACCTCACCTTCCGCTGCAACTCACCTTCCTACTCCTCCTCTCCCGCCCCCTTCCCCCCCCCTCCCCCCCCCCCCCCTCCCCCCCCCCCCTCCTCTAACCCGCCCCCCCCTCCACCTCCCCCCCCCCTTCCCCGGCGCCCCTCCCCTACCCTGGTCCTTCCCCGCTATCCCCACACCCGCTCCCTAGACCCCATCCTTGGTTCCCCACAGACCTCCCCCCCCTCCCTCCTCGCCCTCATCGGTACTCCCCTCCCCCCCCGCTTCAGCCCCCTCACTCCAGATCCACTGCGCAACCGCTCCGCGCTCCTGACTGCACAACCACGTAGCCGAGCAGCAGCACTTCCATGCCTCAGACTCGACCTCCAGCGCAGCTATCTTGCATCTTCACCACCCCCTCTACCTCCTTCTCTCTCCCCTCTCCTCTATGAAGATACCCACGACGAACTCCTTTTCCTCCACCTCCTCGCGCCCTCCATCGCCCCCATCGTCCGCACCATGGCGGGCACTCCAGTTCTTCTTTTCTCGGGCACCCCCACCATCTTCGAACCCACCACGTATGAGGAAGCTATTGCCTGCCTCGACGCACCGCTCTGGATTGAAGCCATGGTCAAGGAGAGCAACGCCTTCATCCACAACCGCTCCTTCATCGACGTCCCTCGCCCTGCCAAGACCAATGTCGTCAAGGGCAAATGGCTCTTTCGTGTCAAGCTTCTCCCTGGTGAAGACCCTGTCTACAAAGCTCGCTATGTGGCGAAGGGCTTCACGCAGAAACACGGCTTTGACTTCTTCGAAACATACTCCCCCACTGCTACCCCACCGGTCGTTCGGGTGTTCCTTGACTTCGTCGGCAGACGCGGCATGCTGCTACACTCCATGGATGTCACTACCGCCTTCCTCCAAGGCGACCTACACGAACTCATCTTCATGGAACGCCCCAAAGGTTTTCACGCTCCACATGACCCGTCCACCGTTTGGAAGCTGCTGCGGCCCGTCTACGGCCTCAAGCAGGCACCACGGGAGTGGCATGCCAAGCTCTCTTCCACCCTTCGCGAGCTTGGTTTTCGCCCCTCCCGAGCTGCCTCCAGCCTCTTCCTTCGGACGGCTCCGTCCCCTTTCTACATTCTTGTTTATGTCGACGACATGCTACTAGCTGCCGACACAGATGCTGAGATGCAGGAGGTCAAGGACGAACTACAGCGTCGGCTCGCCTGCAAAGACCTGGGGGAGGTCCGCAACTACCTTGGCATGGAGATCACCCGCGACCTCACGGCTAAGACTATCTCCCTCTCTCAGTCCTTCTACATTGAGAAGGTCCTTGAGAGGTTTGGAATGTCCAAAGCCAAGCCCATCGCCACTCTGCTTGCAGTTGGGCATCAGCTTTCGCCCCCTGCCACCCCCACCGACTCCTCGAACCCCTATGCAGAACTTGTCGGGGCCCTGATGTATGCCATGGTCTGCACCCGCCCCGACCTTGCCTACCCAGTCAGTGTTCTGGCGCGGTTCGTTGGTGTCGACAAACACACGGAGGAACACATGACGGCGGCCTGCCGTGTCCTCCGCTACCTTCAGCATACGAAGCATTACTCTCTCACCCTCGGTGGAGCGGACCCGCCGGTCCTCACTGGCTTCAGCGACTCGTCCTGGGCAGATTCCCAACCTGACCGTCGCAGCTCACAGGGATATGGTTTCTCCCTTGGGAGCGGCCTCATCACCTGGCGCTCCACCCGCTCCTCCTCCATCGCCCTCTCCTCCTGCGAAGCCGAATTATACGCGGTCACGATGGCGGCACAGGAAGCACGCTGGCTCAGCTATCTCCTCACCGACCTTGGCTCACCACAACCATGTCCCACCCTCTGGTGTGACAACGCCAGCACCATCCACCTCACCAAAGAAGCTGTCTTCCATGGTCGATCCAAGCATATCGAACTCCGCCACTACTTCGTCCGCGACCTTGTCCAGGATGGCCACATCACCGTGCGCAAGATTGACTCCTCCTCCAACCCCGCCGACATTTTCACCAAGGCCCTCGACCGCGCTACTCACTCGGCAATCTTACCCCTCCTGGGCCTTGCCCCCCATGGTGACTGATTCAGGGGTTGCTGTCTTATCTCATCCTGGTTTAAGGATCTCTGCAGGCTAAGGGGTTGTGTTAGATTATACTACTCTTCTGTATCCTGCATTGATCCTATAAACCCTAGGATAGAGATAGGCACCCAAACAATGTTTGGGTGCACACCTAGGGTTAACCCTAGGTGGGGGTTGGAACCCAACCTTGGCCCAATTATTGGACCCCAAGGTTGGGTTGGAGGATTATTGGCCCCCCAATAATGTTGGCCCACTTTGACCAACATTATTGGGACCCCCCAATAATTCTCCAACCCAGCTTATTGGTGGGGGCCAATAATGTTGGCTAGGTACCAACCACCCCTCTCTTCCTTAGCTCCAACTATGTAAGCCCTCATCATTACTAATCAAGTTATCGGTTCAATTCCCACATAGTGGATTCAATTCACCGTTCTAAGGCTACGGCAGCTAGGTGATACGCCACAGAGGGCAGCCAGCTTGTGGGAGCAGGGATCTCTCATAGGTAGTGGCTGAGGCTGAGGCACGCAAAGCCTGCGGGCAGACAGGGAAGTGCAGAAAGAAGAAGGGTAAGAGGACAAGGGAGGAAGCAGCCAAGGGGTGAGGTGAGAAAAAGGAGATCTCCGACAGTACCTTGCAGGCTCCAAACGCTGATTTTGCTGTCCATGCCACTGCTGGCAATGAT